GGGGCTGCAACACATGTTTGAAAGTTGGGGAGGCTAAGACACATTAAAAATATGAATTTGGAGCCTTGAAGCAATTTTTCCAAAAAAGTTATGAAAACAATAAAAATTTTGTCAGAATTTTCTTGATCTACATGAAATATTTCTCTCTTCAGCTCTTTAAAGTAACCTTTTATCAAGTTAGTAATTGAAACCTACTGTTAAAATAAAACAAAACAAAACATTTCAAACACACGGTCCTATGTTTTTCACATAATATAGGTTTTGAATGAAAGCTGGATAATAACTGATAGTTCAAGAGAAGAATAATCTTTCTACGTTGATCTCTAAATTCTTAAATTTTGCACTATTACAAGATGGACATTTTTTGGACCATATATCTTATCTAATCTAATCTGATAAAATTTACCATCTAGTAAATATTCGTTGCATCTAATAACTCTAATCGATAATCAATGTAAAACTTAGGGCATGTTTGTTTGCACGGAAGTAATTGTGAAGTAGCTAAAGTAAAAGAAGTAGATGCTACTTCTGCTACTTCCAAGCAAAAAAGTATGTTTGGTTCTCTGAAAAACTTACTTCCAATACTTCTCTAAATGCTTATGTGGCGCCTACGTGTCATCCTTACTTCCAAAATATTTTTCCAATCCTCAATACTCAGAAGTAGCTCGGAAGTAGTTAAAATGCATATTAATTATGGCATAACTAATTTTTTTATTAATATTTACTTTATTAGTTACTTCTAACAACTTTTTATTGATAAAATTACTTCTTAATAATATTTCCAAATGTTATCCAAACAAAAAAAGTAAATGAAGAGGAAGAAGTTCTACTTCCATTACTTCTAAAAATATATGAAACAAACAAAAAAAATGTTATTTCCACAACTTCCTACTTCATAGCTTTAAAAGTTACTTCTACAACCTACTTCTTACTTCTAATACTTCCATTATCCAAACGGGCCCTTAGCAGAAAATCTAAACCTAATAAGTATGTATCAAAAAAAAGTATTCAGTGAAACCGGTTCATGACATTTAACGTACACTAAATGAATATTAGTTTGTGCACGAATGTTGACGTACAGTTATCTAACTGTTAACATCTATTTAGCGCACATTTAATTTCGTGTGGAAAAATTTCTCAATGACCCAAAATATGGGACCAATAGAGGGGACAAGTGAGGTGTCCCCCTTCTAATTTGATACTTTCTCATGCACTAATTAAGTCCATTAATGAATCCAGAGCTAGATTGAATGAGAAGCTTAAAATAACTGCAGACGAGCAAAGGAATACCAAATATTGAATGCTTTAAACTTTATTAAAGTCTCTCCTTCCTGGATGCAGCCACGGCGCAGGAACCAAATCCACTGACGACCATCGTCGTTAGGTAGATTTATTACGCTGACGTGTCACATATAATAACTAGATATTATTTGAGCGGGCCCCACACATATCCGATTACAGCGGGCACGTGTCCTGGACAGCGTGGCGCTTTGCGCTTTGTCTGTTTCGTGGGGCCGGACCATCGAAGACCCCCTGCCCCTTTACTCCCATTCCCCCAGTCAGAAACCTCCAGGTGTCCTCCCCCCGCCCCTTTGGGATCAATAGAAGTTTTGGTTTCGTATAACCCCTAAACTTTGAGGTCTCTCACAAATCAACCCTAAACTTTCGCCTTTTCCTACCGGATCGCCAATACAGACAATTTATAGACATTTAAAATGCTCGGAGGACAAAAAGTCTTGTCATTTGAGGCAACATCAGTGGCGTAGCTGTTGCGCGCAGCGGAAATTTTGGCAGCACTTCGGCAGCACAACAAGAGTTAGGTCGCAATAAGAATTCTTGTTTCTCAAAGGGAACAAGAATCTGAAGCCTAATATCTTATCAAAGTAGGATATTAGCTCTTTCTCTCGTCAGCTCTAGGACTGCGCGTCGAGGGAACCTAAAAAAGCTATTACAAATCACACAAAAACAGTACAACCAATTTTTACGTGGTTCGACAAATTGCCTACGTCCACGGGACAAGGAGGGGGAGATCTACTAATAGAGGGAGAGAATACAACTAGGGTTTACAATCACTCACAATCTAAACCCTCAAACAAACTCTCAAATCCCTCACAATATCTCTCTACAAGAGGCTGCACAAAACCCTCAATAAAGGGGCTGCTCAAAACCAAAAACAAAAGCCAATTACCCTTGCACTTCCCTCTGTCGGCTCTTCCTATTTGCACGAAGCCGCCACCAACAAAGAGACAGCAGCAATTTTACAAACCTCCTGCTAACCCTATGCCCTAGGCAATGAATAGTATATATAGGCTTAACAAAGTCGGGTCATGGGCCTCGTGAAGTTTTCACGCGGAAACAAAGGAAACAAAGTCCTTGGCCACCTCGTGCTCGTGGTCCCCACTAACAGTAGCCAGGATTATTTTTTACCCTGGGCGAAAAATAAAGGTGGTCTACGAGTATGTCGTGACTCACTTTCTTGAGTGAGTGGATGAAAGAAGAGGAGCCGACGACCGTGTTTGAGAAGGCTTAGGGGATGAATATATGGCAGGCTACTGAAAAAATGCGAAGGCTTGGGAAATTGCTGAAAGAAGCGCAGGAGAGTGATTATGGGTTAATAACAAAAGTGGTTGTCAATGAGTTTGGCGTGCAGTTGTCTAAGGAAGTGAAGTCTGTTGTGGATGTTGCTGCAGGTTCGGCGATGATTTCTAGAGTGGATAGATAAGAGTGAAGATAAGATTTAGTATGTTGCTGGAGATATGTTTGAGTACATTCCACCTGCAGATGCCTTGGTGCTCAAGAATTGCCACAGACTCAATATTCACTCATGGGATGAAGAGGAGCCACCTACTTATATAGTTTTTCACATTCTTGCCCTGGGCAGCTGCCCAGGATAAGCATAAGCATTTACTGTCTACGCCCCTGGGCAACATACACCCCTTCTCTAAATTGAGAATTTTCACCCTCAAGAAAATTTTAGTTATTTACGAATCACATGCAAGAAGTCAAGCGGGAAACTTTAGAGTTGATGGGTGTTTCCTAAGACACCCCAAATTTGAAGCGTGGTTAAAGTGAGACAAATAGAGTTTGTATTGTAATATGTAATCTCCACAAAGTTGAGGGAGCTACATGAAATTAACCCTTTATAAAACAAACAAAAACTGAACAGAATTCAAAACTGCTCCAAAAAAAAAACTTTGCGATCTCCTCCTCCTCTCTTCTCCCTCTTCCTCTTGTTCCCCTTTTTCTCTCTCTCACTGCGTCCTTTTTTTTTATAAAAGAAATTTCCATTTAAAGAGAATTCAAGAGATCGATCATGTTTGTGAAGAAGCTCGTCGATAAGGCCACCAAAAAGGTACTTACTTCACTATCTTCCTCGATTTCAATTTTCTCATAATTTTTTTAACACTAAGGGGAGTTAAATTTTGCGACGATCTTTTTATTTAACTTGTTGCTTCGTTTAATTGTATTACGATGTTAATCATGTCGATGTTTTTCGGGGGGATTAGTGATGGAGATTTTGAAAGCGGCAGGGATTGGTGACCGGTTATAGCCGGTCAAAGGGAAGTCAAGATTTTGTTGACAGTGAGTTTTTAAAGCCTGTGGCCGGTCCCTCGAGATTTACGAGAGTAATTATTATTAATTTTTTTTTATAAAGTTGAAGTTTCAGAGCTGATCTAATCTCAATTGGCTAGATTACAGGATTCGGTCAGCGGTAGTTACTAGTTAGTAATTTGGATTTGAAATTGACGTTCATTTAAATTTTTTATTTAAATACCGTTAAATGGGATTTATTTCAATATAGAGTACATGGATGCAGGATACAATATAGATCATAAATATGCATTATACTTTTTTACGATCTTTAGATATATATGTGTCGTTATACATTTACGACTTTTCTTCACTTTTTTTTATTTGATTTCGATAAAATGTAATTATTCAGTAAATTATGTTTTCAAACTTTAAATCGCAACAATCAGTATTGTTGGGTACTATAGAATATGGGGAGGGAACCAGTAGAAATTAGTTAAATTTTTAATTAATTATTGTAGTTGGTCGGTGTTAGATATATCTACGGATATGGGTAGGTGACGGGCAGGGTTTAATCTGTTCAGGTGGCCATAATGAGTTTTTTTTTGGGTACATTTAAGTGTGCTCCAGGGAATAATTGAAGTAATTATATGTTTGTGCTATTGGATCTAATTTTGTGATGAATTATAGGCACTGACTCTTTTTTGATAATAGAAGTTCTAAGTCGAGTTTTGATTTGTTTGGATGGAGCTCAATGTCTCGAATTTTCTGTATGGGATTGATGGTGATTTTAAGAATAGTAAATGAATAATTTATTCCCCGTATCTCACATGATCTTGATCTATAAGCTAATTGGAAACTCTCCTGTTTCCATCTAATTGGAGAGGATCTGTATCCAAAAGGTAATTGATCAGAATTTTATTCTTTTGGGGGGCAAAAATGCTTTCCCTCTCTGATGGTTTTCGTTCTTAGTTGATTACTCATATAGGTTAATAAATTAGATATTTAGCCACACCAAGGGGGAAATGCTTTCCCTTTTCAGAAGCTTTTCATTCTTTGTTGATTATTCACATAAATGATATACTCATTATAAAATTACTATGATAATCACTAATATGTATATGACGATCAATTACTATGACAATATATAAGTTTAAATTTTCCAATTAATGAAAACTATATATTTTTTTTCTTTTTAATTTTTCGCCTATTGAACAATAGTTTTTTCCATTTATCGCGAAAAAGTAATTTTTTTTTCAATGTGATTAGAGGCAAATATTACAAAAACATAGCATATTGCATCTTTGGATGTCGACTATCTTTTCAATTCCTCTGTTTGGCAACAGCAGGCCGGAGAAAGCAGCATCCACGGTCTGAAAGTAGAAGACGTGAACCCGCACCTCGCATTCCACTATGGAGTCCCTGCAGGAGCCTCTCAAATGGCTTATGATCTCATCCAAAACATCCTCGCTATCGCTACCAAGTACTAACTTACAAACTCCCTCTTTCTCTATTTATATGTTTCATAAATTTGTGTTTTTGGGTTAATATCTGTTTCTGTTCATGTTGGCAGCGATGGCCGCATCAAATTGTTTGGGATGGACAACACCCAAGCTCTGCTCCAGTCGGAAGCACCCATCCCGAGCAAATTCTTGCAGGTTTGCAGCAAATAAACATACCCTATAAACAAAAAACAGATATTAATGCAAATCAAATGTTTAAGGTTCTTTTTTGTTCTCGTGCACTCCCTTAAATGTTTAACGTTTTGAAATTAGTCCGTAATCCCTCCAATCAAGAGTGTTAATAGCAATATATTAAAAAATTCAATGTCTTGAGCGACTACTTTCAAAATACTAAAAATTTACAAGACTAATATCGCCGAAATATTTTAACATATATGGACGTACAGTTATTTAGCTAGTCAATTAGAGAACTTTTGCGTAGTTAATTTCAACGTGTTGTTGCTTTTAGATATTGTTGTTGTGTCGTCTTTTTGATGGTTGTACAGATGGCTTACCTTGATTTTAATTGTTTTCTTGCAGTTCATTGAAAACCATGGTATCCTCTTGAACATAAATGTTCAGAACCACATAGAGGCAAGTTTCTTTAGTTGTTTAATATTGAAATGGATACTTCAGCATTGCAATATTTTTCTCAGGAAGTTTCTGTATTTACTGTGATATTGTGAGTCAGCGGAGAAGGGCAATGGGTTTAGGACTGATGTTCTTTTTTGTCACGAAGTTGTTGTATTTACAGACATCATTTTTTAGGTGTGGGACATCGATACGAAGGAGCTATGTTATGTGCACATTTCAAGTGAAGAAATTACTGCATATGCTGTAATGCAACAAAGTTTATACATGTATGTAATATTTCTCTAACTCTACCCATTTCACCAGCTATTTAAATTAAGTACAAATTCTATACTCATTACACTCTAAATTTTATCTGACTTGTTATAGGTATGTTGGTAATTGCCATGGAGATATCTTTTTGTTGAAGCTCGTAACCGAAGAAAAGAAGCTAGTTAGTGTGCAATATACAATTCCTTTCAGAGAATCATATGGTGAGATTTCCCTTATGACATCCTGCTGACTATCTTGTCTATTTCCGCCATGTACTGTTACATTCATCACATATGTCTGGGTTTTTTCCCTGTCGCGTGTACTACAGGTAGTGGTTAAATGGAGCAGATATATTGGTATTCTAACCAAAAAATTACCTGATGTCCTAAATTGCTCTAATATCCAATGAATCATACCACAACACAACACAACAACAACAAAGCCTTTATTCCAAATTTTGGGTTTAGATACATGAATCCTACCCTTCCCTTCCATTCAGTTATGTTGAGAGCTCTCTCCTCCACCAAGTTAAGCATTATCATAACCTCATAGTTTCTAATCAAGTTCTCTTAGTCCTTTTTCCTGAGGTATATGCTTATATATCCTGCATTATATGCCTCGATGATCTTTGTGTTATACTTCTGGTTTAAGTATATTGTCCAGCGAGTAAAAATTAGCACACAAAGATTATTATTCTCCAACAAGCGACTATGCTCGATCTGAAGATGATCGTCAGATTGAATTATTGTTATTATTTGATTTAAAATATAAACATTGTTGATCATTTAATACAGTAGATAAATAGCTTGGACAGTTAGATATTGCTCAAAAGCACTGTGGTAGTAACTTATGATGGCATACGTGTTGCGGTGCCACTTGACTGTTGCTACTTCATTTTTCTAAAATTTGAACTTAACCATACTCATAGTAATAATTTACTTATTATTTGCATAGTTAAATTTGGTTAGCACTTTTTTTTATTTGTGTAGATGATGATACATGAATGTAAATTTTTATATTCCTTGAACTCCGCTCTATATTTTACCCTTCTTGTCCTAGTTCTCCCTGTCATTTTATCTTACTTGGAAGCTATCATTTTTCAGGTAAAATGAATGAAGTATGTGATGACAATGCAGTCATAGGTATTTTGCCACAGCCTATGGCTGAATCCAAGAGGTAAGTTTAGTTTCCTCGTGATCCTTTTATAATTAGATAACTTCTCACCACCGCAGACACAACCACCTCCTCAGTGTAAATCACCTCCCCTTTTCCATCTATGAGTAAGTAATAAAACGTTGATACCATCTCATATGGATTCCAAAAACATCTCTGTATTGTCAGTGAAACTTGGTCAACTACTGAATGCAATGTAGTTCATCTTACCAGCTACATTGAAATCCATACATGGTAAGTTCAAGTCTGCATGCTTTGTGACTTCTTGCAAATGTACATTAGAATGCCACGGGATTAGCTTCATGGATAGTCTCAGCGTAATTTGACACCCTTCGTTTTCTATATATTTTCTAGACAAGGTTGTTGGTCAGTTTTAAAAAGACTGTTAGCGTCTTTCCAGTATCTGAGGAAAAATGCTGCCGTTATAAAGTTGTTTGTCTTTAATGTTTACGCTTATTTTTCAGTACTTCATTTGCTATATCCAAACCTGCTCCCCACCAGCAATCTTAATTCATGCATGGTATTACAACAATAAGAGAAATGGGATTCTCTTTCTTATTGTTTTTTTTATACAACAATAAGAGAAATGGGATTTTTCTTTCTTATTCTTTTTCTATGTAATTGCTAAGTCACATGATGCGTCAGCAGTGCTGTAAAACTAGTCCTTTACCTTCTATACCTTAACTTTCCACCATATATCTTGCAAAGCAGGGTTCTTATTCTGTTTAAAGATGGAGTAATAAGTTTATGGGGACTTCAAGAAAGTAAAGTAGTATCAGTTACTGGTGGAATTACACAGATTTCATCACATCAGGAACCAAAGAAGGCAGTAGCAGCATGCTGGGCATGCCCATATGGAAGTAAACTGGTTGTTGGATACAGCAATGGAGAAATTTTTATTTGGGCCATACCAACTCTGTTCTCAGAAGTAAACAAAAAGGAGTCACACTCTGCTCTGAATATTCCTCTTGCCAAGCTCAATCTTGGGTACAAAACGGACAAAATTCCTATCATTTCTTTACGGTGGGTTTCTGGTGATGGACGAGCAAGTCATTTATACGTCAATGGTTATTCTGACAATGGATCTCATTCATTTCAGGTACAAACTTCTAGTACCAATCTAATATACACTTGTCTTTATCTTGTGAGGTGTCTTCGATCAGCTGAGGACTTGCCATGCACTGTGAGAAATTTGTACGCATTTATACTAATGGTGTCTCAATAGTTCCATTAAAAGAACAATGAGGAGATATAATGCAAATCAAAATAGATAATTATGGATAACCATGAGAAAGCTAACCACGGGATGATTCTTCAAGCATTGTGTTGTCCCAAGTTTATGCTTTTTTTTTGCAGTAGATAGAAACTCACAGGTTCAAACGTTATGGTAGAAAGAAATTTGAAGCTTTCTTGTCGGGATCGTAGCAGTTTCAGTATCTAAACATTTTAATTACCTCGTATTAGCCTGTGAAGTTATGTATGTTACATTATATTTTTGTGTATACATGTGTTTTGGTTGTGTATGATTATACAAACATTTTAATGTCTTTGTTTGTCCTATGACAGGTTGTAGTTCTGAATGAAACTTCTGAATCTCGAACAATCAAATTGGTTCTTCCTTTGACTGAAACCTGTCTGGCAATGGAAATTGTTTCATGTTTTAGTGACCGAACCAAGCATAAGCAAACTTCTCTTCTTCTCTTGTCAAAATCAAACCAGTTACATATTTATAATGATTCACAGATTGAACATTATCTGTCACAATGTCAATCTAAATCTTCTCCATCACTTCCGAACCATTTCGTGTTGAAGCCACCATTCAATGATTCAGGCATCACCATTGCAAAACTTTATACAAGCTACTCTGTTGAGTCCAATATTATGAATGAGGTAACTGCTATGAGCATTACCATGGACTTTTTTGTTTTAATGCTAAGTGTACATGTGTACTCCTTGCTGATGGAATCATATTACCATCTTTCTGTTATTTTAGGAACAATTGATGTTACTCAAGAAGTATTCTAACCTCTTCCTGGTTGATAAGAGGGATACAAATCATTCAAGCTCTAACTTTAGTGGATTTGCAAAGACAACTAGGTACTTGTGTATAACTGGACACCAGGATGGAGGAATAAATTTTTGGGATGCCTCATGTCCCCTTCTGTTCCCAATTCTATCAATAAAACAACAGGTAATCTTTACCAGTGAAAATATTCAAGTTTTAATTAGTCTAATTCAACTGTACTAACTATAACCCACTATCTCTTATGAATACTTATAAAGTTTTATGAACTCTCCAAAAAAAAATAAGCAGACTGAAGACAGCAATGCTCCCATCAGCACTCCAGTGACAGCACTGCATTTCGATCTCTCTTCCCAAACACTGGTTACTGGAGATCAAAATGGCCTGGTGAGCTTCTTGTTGATTATGAACAAATATGACATCATGTGTGTGGTAGAATTTCGTGGTTAAAATATTTTTTTATTAATTGTAGGCTCGGATCATCAAATTCAAAAAGGATCAGCATGCCTCAGATAACATGTTCTCCTTTCTACAAGGTATTACCCAGCATGCTCAGGATTAAATGGGCATATTTTGACATTTTGTGACTGCCAAATCAACTAGTTCACACTAAACCATGAATTCAAAATTCGTAATTTTTTATTTTCAAACTTGTTTGGTGCAAATGTTTTAATAACACCTGCCATGTGTATCAGTAATATGAACACCTTCGTGAGTAATGATTCTATCCCAGTTTGACTACTACTTATAAACCCTGAATATCACCTGCCATGTGTATCAGTGCAGTCATATTTGTTTAATGGCATCTTCAGTCGTGATCTGTTATTGGCCAGTTGATCATGATCTATAATAGTATGCCTTAAAGAAAACAAAAAGGAAAAGAAAGGAAAGTAGCCTTATTTCAACATTTGACGTGCTTTGTTGAATTATGCAAATCATACTGTGAAACCATTTCTTTTTCATTTGGCCACTGATATATGATCTTTATTTTGATAATTCATGTGACAATGTGCATACATTTTTCTAATTAACGGCCTCCTTCTAAGGAGTGCTTTAATCTGAATATATTCCAACTTACTACGTGTTGCTTTCTGCTGTAACAGCAAAGCCTGGTGGCAACTACACCACTCGTAGTGTTAAAGTCAAAGGAGTTATCCAATGTATCAGTGTGAATCCTGAATCTAACCATCTCGCCATGGGAACGGATAAAGGATTTGTAAGCCTGAGCGTTTATAACATTTTTTTAAATTCTTTTAATTCTTTATTAGCCTAAAATTCTGTTTTTACTTGAAGTTGGTTGAGTTTTTGATTTCCACTATTAGCTCTTCATTCTAGATCTCGTGTTCACTCTGTTGTATTCACCGCATTGTGGATCAGAATTTCTAAGTAACCTGACCAGCTAAGTGGGTCTTTTTTTTCTTTGTTCTTTTTTTTCTGGGGGTTTTGGGGATTTTTATTTTTATTTATTTATTTATTTATTTATTTATTTTGGGGGGGGGGTGTTGGGGGGAGGGTGGTTCTGATTATTAACATGGACTGTAATGTTTATGTTTTATGATCAAGAATGTGAGCATTTTTCGGCCTTGTTTATGTTTTGTGATCAATCTGGATTTTGGAAAGATCTTAAAAGTATGGTAAAGACAGTTAGCTTGAGAAATCCTACTAAAGGAGAGAAATCTCTGTAACTTGCTTGATTGTTAAAATCATATTCTTGTTTGACTCTTCGGAAGTAAGCATTTAATTAAGATATCACTGTGTATAATAAAAAAGGTGTCTGTCATGCATTGTTCCATGAATGTAAAAATATTGTTTGGAAATGGTGGTTTATGGTAAATACGTGTTATATTATATGTACCCATAAGTTTTTTAGAGAATAACATATTTACTCTTGTAGTTTGCATATTTCTATCTGCAACTTTGTATTTGAGATATGTTATGTATATATAACATATTTACTCTTGTAGTTTGCATCTCTCTATCTGCAACTTTGTATTTTGAGATATGTTATGTATATATACCCTTGCTAGTTGTGACAGTTTATGAAATTGTACTAAATTTAAAAAGTAATACATTAGTTACAGTTTTTTTTTTCTAGTTTGAGTAAAACTATCTTAAGTTGTAAATTTTAATTATTTTTGCCAACATACCCTTTTTATGTACCCACTTCAACACTAGGTTGTAATCAAGCAATGTGACTATTTTGCTGAAATGGTGCTAGGATGGATAAACTGAGGATGCTTTATCGTGTATGCAACAAAACTTGGTGAAGAACACTCTAATTCCTTAAAGAGCATCGCTGAATTTATTAAATTTATTTATCTTTGTTTCTGTTTTGTGGCGTGGAAGAGCATTATTAGGTGAAGGGTTGGCATGTTCACAAAATAACTTAAAAACACAAGGCAATCTTGAAAAAATATTAATAACCAAAGGTGATATTTGTTATTCCTGAAAAGCAAAGGAGTCTATACGCTAAAGCTCTTTGCTTTCAATCAATTATTGCTGACTTAATGTTAATGGTTTAAACTTGAATCCGTGTATATCTTTTCGGAAGAAAATTGATTTAAACTTGAATTAATTATATCAGATGCCCTATATTCTTGTGTATATCTTTTCAGAAGAAATTTGATTTAAACTTGAATTAATTATGTTAGATGCCCTATATTCTTGTGAATTTTATAGTTTGCAATTTCAATTCTGCTGCATGTTTCAGATATTTGTGTTTGAGATGGAAGGGACAAATATTTTGTACCAAAAGCAGTTTCCTAGTCAACTTTATCCTGGCATCAACTCTTTGCAGTTTGAGAACTGCAGCCATAATGGCTATGCAAAGAATATTTTGTTGATAGGCATGCAAGATTCGTCCTTTTTGGCTATTGAAGAAGACAATGGAACTGAACTGAATGCTAGTGCAGTTCATACTAAGAAACCATCTAGAGCTTTATTGATGCAGATAGTAGGTAGAAACAAATTTTTTAGATCCATGTACTTTTACTAAATAACTAAATATATATGTTATAAATGAGAGGATGACCTGATTTAAATGACTGTTAATGGTCCAGGTGCATCATCTGATGGAGTATACACTTCAGGGTCACAGTTACTGTTTTGCTCTGAAAATGCTGTGCGCATTTATTCGTTGAGCCATGCAATGCAGGTAAATCACTTCTAGAAAACTTTTCCAATACTATTAGCAACAGTTGCTGAATATAATACGATTCTTCTGTTTATCCTCAAACTGTCTGCTCTCAGGGCATCAAGAAGGTGAATAGTAAGAAAAAGTTAAGTGGCAACTGTTGCTATGCGTCAATTGTCTTTGGCCCATCATCTGACGTTGGACTCATACTTGTCTTCGAGAGTGGCAAAGTGGAGATAAGGTGAAAAAAGTGATTTCCTGATATTTCCTCATTATTATGTTCATTGGTTTTTTATGCATATTTATGCATATTTAAAATTATTTCGTAAGAGAGGGAAGGACCAAAGAGTAAAGAAAAGTATGGTTATCACGTCTTTTGTTAGGGTGACTTTACTTCAAGCCATATATCCTAGTAATGGAATCAAAGTCAGTAGGCCTACATAAACTTGAGTACTATAATCTACGTTTTATTTCTATAATTTGGGATTTGCATCTTTGCAAGTTGATAAAGTTCTTTTGGTGAGTGTAGTTTAGGACTCAATTTCGAAGTTGTTATTTACAAAATAATATCACATAATTATATTGTAACCTCTATTGCCAACTTAGTATCTACTGTTTCATTGTTGTAGGATTAAATCATCTATTGTAGCAGAACACAAGTTATGTTGAAGTTTTCTCCTGGCGCTCTTATTTATCATTCATATGGATCACATTTTTACTTTAATGTACTTGGCAAACTTACTCGTGATGCTGCTAGCATTTATCCATTTTTTCCCTCTTCTTTTTTATGATAAGAAAATTGTTTTAATAGTTCAGCTTATACAGTTATCTAAATATTCTCATTGTGATATTTCAGATCCCTCCCAGATCTAAGTCTCCTAAAGGAGGTATCAGTTAGAGGTTTCCCATATTCCACTTTGAAATCAAGTGCACATTCTAGCAGTGTAATATGTGCTTCACCTCAAGGAGAACTAGTCATAGTAAGACTGGATGATCAATTTCTTTTCTTGAAACATTATTGTGCACAAGATTTGGCTGTTTTTGACATTACTAATTACTCCCTTTAATGTAGGTTAATGGAGATCAAGAGATTCTCTTTTTCTCGGTTTTAGTTCAACAGGGAACATACAGGTACACTTGAAAACCTTATGAATGCTCTCAACTACTCTTAGTTGCCTCTTTCAATAGATCCATACTTTGCTGGAAATATTTCGTTATACCTTGTGAAGGTTTTTTGCTGGAAATATTTCGTTATACCTTGTGAAGGTTTTCATTTTTTAGCCTGCACTTTCCTTTACCTCTATTAATCTCAAATCTGAAGTTTCTTTTATTTATATTTTGAATTTAGACCTGTGTTGGATTTCTTAAATAACTGTGTTGTTATTCACCTCCAACTAATGAATAAATATAAGTAAATTGCCTTATTTGGTGAACTGCTTTAAGAACTGTTTTGTTGGTAACCTGAAAACTAGCTATTCCTTAGGAACCTGAAGGGTATTAACCAGGTATATAAACATAACAATGTTTATGTGGAAGGAGGGAGCCCAACTGCGATAAATGCTCATAAAGAAAAGAAGAAGGTAACGCATGAGATTTTTCAGACTGTGTTATTAAACTTGTAGAGTACATAATAAGCAAATTGGTATTATAGGGTATATTTAGCATGGTCAGAGATTTAACTGGAAATAAGTCAAAACATGGACAAGATACTGACACTGAAGAGTCCAGAGCAAGTACGGCGGAGGAACTGTCTGCTTTGTTTTCAACGGCTAATTTCTCACTAGATTATGTGAACAAGCACACAGTTGAAAATGAAGAAGATATCGAGTTGGATATAGGTAAATTCCACTCTCTTTCTCCACCCATATGGATTATTTCAAGTGTTACCATTTTTGTATTATGCGGTTTCTATGTTTAAAATTGGCATTGTTTTTATGTTTGAAAAGATGATATCGATGTTGAGGATACAAAGGAGAAACCCAAAGAATGGAACTTCTCTGTCCTGAATAAGCAGAAATTAAGCAAGAAATTTCAAGCAATCAAAGGTTGGTATTTAAATTTAATAATTACATTATTTTTTTCACCTTCAATCATCTTCATAACAATCGCAACGAAAATTTAGCATGTCCTTCATGGAGCCTTGCACCCTAGCCGACCCCATTTTGATGAGAAAAGGTTTAGAGTATGATGGTGCTATTACCTCCTTTAACTTCTTTTTTTCTCCTCTGCATCAAGCATTTATGAGACTGTTTGGATCATGTTCCATTAGAACTTCAGATTTTGTCTAATCTTCTTGAAGCTTTAGAGGATATCAACATACTTTTGGTCTTTGTTCTGTAATTTGCAGGAAAATTGAAGACCAAAACAGATGAAAAGTTAAATTCATCAAACAACGGGAATGAAGATGATAAGGCTGTTGGTGGGATTGATCAGATAAAAAAGAAGTATGGATATGGAATGAACAATGTAAGAAGCATCTTTATACAGCTAAATTTGATAATGAAGGAGTTGCTCATGTAAAATTTTATCAATATATTCAACTCTTCACATGCTAATATCTAGCAAAAAAATTTCCCTTAAAAATTATTTAATTAATTTTTATGTTGTTAGAACATGGTCATAAGCAAAAAAGGTCGCTTCCATCAATTTTGGTTTGACTATACAGGTCCTTATTTCTCTTTTTGATGGCTACTATGTTCAATGTGTTTAAATTTTCCCTTTAAAATATCTAGGTATTATGTCTTGTGCATGTTTCATCCTTCCATTCCTTTGTTCCTTTTTTATATTATTTTTTTCCCCTTCCAAATCAAGTAGTGTTACATTTTATGTGAATGTTTTCTTCCTTGCTATGAGAATTAGCTTAAAGACTCTTCTTCCATACAGAAGTTCCAAATTTAGGTAAGGTTGATGGGCTCTTTCTCTGTGTTATACAAGTTTGCATAACTAAAGTCCCTGGCAGTGCACAAAAATCCCAAAGTTAGGTGATAGCTAATAAGGTTAAGCTGTTATTCTAATACCTTTTTACGTTAGAGCACTTTGTTTTATGGGCTGAAACGTGGATTTTTACTTGATAATATTCTTTAAATCCGCTTTTAAATGTACAGTTGGTGGGATTTGAATTTTGATAGTATTCTTTAAACTCTGAAGTTATGGTGAAAGTTGAAGGTTGTAATTTAGTATCTTAATGAGGTATTATCATCAGCAAATAAAGCAATCCTACCCCTACTCTACATCCTATATGCCATCCTACATTTAACCAACTACCTTGCACATAAATTTTTATTTTTGTGATTTATATTTCTTTTGCTGCGTACCTGCTTCAGGCATCTGAATGATTAACCAGCCTTTTTTCTACCTGTTCTATTGTAACTTATATATTATACGTATGTAATTATTCCTTGTTTTTTTCCTTAAATCAGGAATTTAGTGCAGCAAAAGCTGCAGAGAGCAAGCTGAGTGACAATGTCAGAAAGTTGCAGGTAAATTGACCATCCCAATTTTAGAATGAAGTGGTTTTTAATAAAAGTAAATGTCATTGGAATATGTGCTTCTTGTTTCGAACATTTCAGCTCTTTGGTCAACATTTTTTGCGACCTGATTTAAATTTGCAATATGCTCAAGTTAGCTACGTAAAATTCACTGCCATAATGACATCTTGGTTTTTGTTGATTTCTCCTTTTCCACTGTCCTGTAATAAAAAGTGATTCAGATTGAAGTTTTATGTTGTGGTAGATTTCTCTGTCAAGGATCCGAAAGAGCATTCAAAAATTGTCTTTGATGAGATATCCACAATGAAGCTAAATCAGAACAATTCTTTGTGACAGTTTAAAAAAGAATCAGGAGCAGTTCTTAGCTGCATTTTGATTTGCTTGCCTTGTTCATTCTGTATTTCTCCTTCATGAACGCGAACATTCTGACGCTTTAATTACTTTTTTCGGCAGGGTATTAACGACAAGACATCAGAGATGAAGGATACTGCTCAATCATTCTCATCGTTGGCCAAGGAACTCCTAAGAACTACACAAAAAGATAAAAAGAGCTCATAGAAATATGACTCCTTTAATTACGCATATGAGTTATATGTGATCATTATTTTTTACTCCTTTTAATTTTGGCTTCATATTAATATGACCCTGATTTTATCGGGGTGGTGTTCTCCTGGTTGTTGTAATCTTTTGTGTACATTTGATTTGTGTAAATTTTATGTACAGATATTGACTACAGTTTGATTTGGAGGCTGTTTACAGACGCAATCTTTTGGGATTAAAGCTTTATTATTGCTGTAATCTTCAGTGTAATTGTAATGAATATTCTCTTTAAGATGTGGCATCTCCTTTTCCTTTACATTTTGAGTAAAGAAAATGAGTTGACCTAAACTCCATTATAGTATCCGAGATGTGGTTACTATCAATCCAAATCTAAAACTTTGATTTGGCAAATTGAAAATACAGGCCTTGCATATGGCGTAATACACAAGAAGTATTTAGGAACAAAAATTTTAATTTTGACAACATACAACACACGCCTCAGAGTGAAAATTTTAAATTTGGATCAAATGCTATACACATCTTGGATAATATTAAGAGTAATATAGCCCAACTCCAAGAAAATTAGATGTGTGACTACTTAAAGTTAATTGATCATAAGTTGCTGGTTTGAACACTGTTTATAGCTTTAAAGTTAGGGTAAATTACACTAAATCCTGAAAAAGTTTTGTCGTGTTGTACTAAACCACCAATAACTTTCAAAATTGCCCCAAACCCCCCGAATAAGTTCTGCAGAAAACCCCAATATATTTTGGATAAATTACATTAAACCCCCAATAACTTTCATAATGCCTCTTTATGTTGTTCAGTTCGAATTGATGGGGCTTATCTGCAATAATGCAAGAACTTATCGGGGGTTTTCTCCGATTCCAAAAGTCACAAGGGTTTGTTGCAATTTTGAAAGTTTTTGTGGGTTTACTGCAAAACACAGAAAGTTCTTGGGGGTTTAGTGTAATTTACCCTTAGTATTAACCTTAAAGGTAAATTACTTAGAATATCCCTCTACTGCCTCTCATTCCAGTAGCATCCTTAATCTCAAAGATGCCTAATAATGCAAGGAACCGCAACTGAAATAAGCAACTATATATCTATTTCACCCCCAAGCAATTGGAGAAACAAAAAAGAAAAAAGGAGGGGAAAAAAAGGGAGAAACTCACTTTCAGCATATTAGCGCATGAAGCTAATTTCCTTTCTCAGACACTCATGGAGAGCTATCAAAGCTTACACATTCTCATTTAGATGACATTTCTATTACTTACAAGCAACAAGTCGAGGTATTTCAAAAGTTGCATATTTAACTAATTCAAATTAACAAACAGGAAATCTGGACAGAGAGAAAGTTTTTAATATTTTAGCATCTGGGTAACAAGTTGACCAGCTGAGAATAAATATGATCCTTGATAGCTTCTCTATTTTCTCTGTTCAGAGTGAACACAGTTGCTCCAGGATGATTCCTTAACCTTGCAACTGTGAGTATCATAAGCTCTTATTAGTTGTGCACAAAAAGGCGAAACAGAAGCAAAATTGGAAGAAAAAAAATCTCTGCAGGCTTATATCACAGTTGACCATTTCGCCTTTTAACCTTTGGCAAACACTGATAGGATATTTTTTTTCCTAGTAAATTGCAAACAATCTCTCTTCTGCGCTCACTTTGTGTGCATGTGTGTGTTTTGGGGTGGAGCGGGATGGGGGGGTGTTTATTGCAATTTATCCATTTCAAAATGCCAAACCTTGGAGCATTAAGTTTTGGGGTAAATTACACTAAACCCCCAACAACTTTCAGTGTCTTGCAGAAATTCCCAATAAGTTTACGTGTTTGCACATAACCCCCATAAATTAAAACCAAAAGACAACATAAAAAAGACATGTTGAAGGACAATTTCATCCAAAAGAAAAAAAAAAGTGTTCAGGACCCCAACCTGGAATCAATCAAGAGGAGAATGAATGACAAAAGACGAGATTTTTGTTTTTAGGTTGAAAACATAAAAAGGCCATCAAGGGATCTTTTAATGATTTAAGGGGTATTTTGGACTTTTTATGTCATGGCAGTGGCACATGCCCCATTAGATGTAATGCTGTTTAACTTTGAGGATTTTCTGCAAAAGTTATTTGGGGTCTCGTGCAATTTTTAAAGTTCTCGGGTTTTACCGGAAAACACTGAAAAGTTCCTGGGTTTAGTGTGCTTTTGAAACTTATTGGGGGTAAATTGCAAACACTGAAAGTTCTTAGGGGTGTAGAATTTACCCTAGTTCTAATAAACGAGCTGAAGGGTGATAAGTGCTATTGAAGATATAGATGAGGGGAATCATCAGAAATTGTGACCCTTTTTCCATTGTACAACCCATTCGAACATATTTGACCTCCCAAGTCAACCAGAGATAAAATGAAGAAGATAAAAAATAAGGTGGAGAGATTACAGGTAAAAAATGAGCTCAGAACTTAAAACTAACCAAGATTGTGTAACTGAAATATTATAAGAATCAATAAAATTTTATCTATTCTGATGGATAGTTGGTAACCAAAGTAACGTAAGAGTCCAAATATAATGTTACAAATAATAATAAGTAGACTTCATTATTACCTCCAGGTATGTCGCGACCACATTTAGGTATAGGTATAGATCCTAGAACCGGAATGTTGGATTCAAGAACTCTCAGAACAGCAGGAAAAAACGAAGAACTGAACAACTCCATTTTGCCCACTTCATCAATGACGTAAAGATCTACCCCATCTTTGATCTGATAGCGACTAAAATTCACAATTATGTTTAACTGTACAATATGTAAATATGTCAAAGTTTTCAAAGCATCTTACCTGCAATTCCGGCAATGCCAGTGACTCGAATGATGCCACATCTACTTTGTATTTTCCAACATTAGGCCATCTAAGAGACTCTGAGCTACACAGCAGAAATAAACGTAAACTTAAGAATAAGAGGAACAACATCAAACAGAAAGAGAAGACAAAGTAAACGGCTAACATTGAATCAGATGATAAGATTGTTCTGCTGGAAACTTCACAAAAGCAAGCAAGCACTATACAATGAAGTGAATGAGTACTACATTGGATCTTCTCCGTTACATTCAACAGAATCCAACTAATATATGTATACATACTGCCGATGAATAATTTAAGATATAGCAAATATTTCAAAAACATAGCGGTAGAACTCTGAAATGTTAAAGTAAACCTTTGTTCTTTCTTTAAGTTCTCAAAGACCTACGAAAGATGAAAGATTGTCATCATCACCACCTAGAAAACTAGTCTTATTTACAGTGTTTGATTTCTGTAACGGAGACGTCTTAATTGTGTTGTTGCTAGATTTGATGAATGTATTTGGAGTAACCATAATCCTGCTACAAATCCTATCCAGCCTCTCAGAAGGCCATAACATCAGCTTCCCAGGGGCTCCTCGAATAATCTTCTCAAATGTACATTCCATTTCACAAATTCGGCAATTCTCCGCCAATTTGATCCTGCATGGTGCACCACTGCCACCAACCACGCCCCCTCAGATACATCTAAACTCTAGCTATCATTTTTTTTAATTTCAGTATCATTCTCATCTTCAATAATCTAAAGAAATGTAATTTTTCTCATACCAACCTTTCCAAAATCATTGTGTATGTAATAGCCCAACATGCAATGTTCCCCTCTTTCTAGCTATATAAACTCAAGGATGGAAAGGCTTCAAGAACATGTGTTTGGACAATCAAACTTGATTTGTTTCTTCCCCCTGTAATTAGGCTACTAATTAGTCGGGGTTGGTAACCCCGACTAATTAGTACCGCAATTATCTCAAAGTGGATCGATTTCTATAATTAAAAGTGAATGGGGTCTATTTCTTAAAAAAAAAAAATTGATGAGGCGATTTTGAAAATTTCTTCCAAAAAAAATTCAAGATTGATGCAATGCCAAACCCTAGAACCCTTTTTTTAAAATAAAATAAATAAACCAACCTGGAGAACTTAGAGGAGGCGAGAGGGCCGCGCCTGCCGTCCAAGGTGACCACTTCGAACCCGACCCGACCCGAGCCCTCCCTAACCTCCCCTGTAAATTAATCAATCAATTCACAAGAAAATCTTAACATCCAAAATAAGAAAAAATAAAACCCTAGAAAGTATGATCGAGCGCGTACGAGTGTAGAAGCCTCGGATGTTGAGGTGAGGGTGGGAGGCCTTTAGCTTTTCCACCGCTCTCATCACCAGCGTCGACTTCCCAATTCCCTGCCCAAGTTTTTTTTTTCCCCCTTTTCATCTTCATTTTTCTTATTTTAGTTTTTTTTTTAAATTTGGAGAAAATATTAAAATATTGCATACCGGAGAGCCGGTGACCAGAAAGCATTTGCAGGCCGGAGAAGCAGCAGCAGCAGCAGCCATGCCGGTTGAAGCTCTAGTTTGGCCCAAACAAAAGAAGAGGGCCTTCACCTATTTTTGGATGACAAGCTAGAAGCTGTTTTTTTTTTCTTTTTTAATGAAAGAAAAATTCTCAAATGTTCCAAAATATATGAGAGCAAGGGGGACACGTGAGGTGTCCCCCTCCTATTGCATAACGAAGAGACATGTGATGAGCTTATTATATAATAGGAGGGTGACACTTTACCTGTCCACCCGTTGGTCTCATATTTTGAATCCCTATAGCAGATCTCTTAATGAAATATTGTTACTGTTCACCTAAAAGTGATCCTACGAGCAAGGATTATGCGGTAATCCATTAGTTTTAAAATTACAACTCTTTTATTTAAGGTGGTTACATTGTTCCTATAAGAGTATTCTGATGGGAACCCCGATGTGATTATACCTCTTGTTAATGTTCAATTTGGACTAATGCAACTAATAGCTTATATGGTCTGATGCAAGTGTCAATTTGTGCGCGCAATTGTATGTGCACTACTGCGTTCATTGGATGGTTTATCAGTAGCTGTAATTATATAGTTCAATTTATATCTTTTCTCCCTTATTAGTAACTACCCTTTTTTCTTTCTTTTTTTTCTTTTTTTTTTGTTTAAACACACAGGGGCTGTTTGGTTCAATTTCTATGAAACAAAGGAAAATGAAAAGTGCTCAATTTTTGATTTTCTTGTATTTCTATAAAAATGTGTAGGATAAACTTATAGAAATCAAAGAGTACTAATTTTTTGTTCTTTTTTTCTACTATTTCTTTATTTGGTTCAAAACATGAAAAAGTTCCTAACTTTATAGAAAAAAGGTTGTTGTGGTGTTTTTAGTTGCCAAATTATGATCTCTTGTTAACAACAGACAAATATCCCCCGTTATGCCCAATTGAGTCAACTCAACCCTTGGGACTGTCAGAGTCCCGATCTCGCCGACTCGTTAAGTCGACATCTCGCTAGGCAGACTTGAATGGCGATGCTTGTCGGTCCTCTCGTCAAAGACGACTCGCCACAAGCTTACTCAACTAGTTAATTAGCCGGCAACTCACGGGAACCGACTCAAAAGGCGATACTTCTCGACACCCCTCGATACAAACCAAAAAGCGACTTCGACCTCGGTGTCGACATCACATTAAATGCTTGGCAGATGCCATCATTTCTTTATCCACGACACTATTTATGACACATCGGATGCTCAACTAGTTAAACGACTTCGTACGTCGCCTATCCCATCTCATTATTGCCGAAGTAACAACGCCCATTCTGTGGCCTCTCCATAGCCGACACCTGTAAAGTTAACGCTGACTCAGTCACCAGCTCAGTCTCGGCTAAAAGAGACCAAAATGCCCCTCCTACATGACTATAAAAGGGAAAACTATTCCCAATGCGAACGTAAGCAATTTTCCTGTACTTTTCTCCATTTCATTGTCCTTAAGAATTGTTACAATTCGTTATTTTCTCCCAGTCAAGTACCTCGCTAACTTGATCGTCGAATGAACAACGAGGGGAACACTACCCGTGCAGGGAAGAACAGTTCAACTCAAAACCAGATATTCGGAAAAGTTAGTCGTCGTCCCTAATCAACTTAGTTCGTATTAGTTTACCTGTGTGATTTAGACCATCAACATAGATTGTTTTCTTTTTCTTTTATTTGGTTGTATATCACTTTATAGAAAATAGGTTCCTAACAATACCCATGAGAAATCACATGGGGGTGAAGAAATAGAGTACGTGTGTACTTCATTATTTTTTTAATGTAAATGCCAGATTTCTAGGCAATTTCTACATGTGTACTTTTTCCTACTTTATAGAGAACATTTCTATAAAAAAAAATTATACAAAGATGTCATTGTTAGGTATTTTCTCAAAACTTTTTTAGAAAATAGGTAAACCGGTGCACCCTTCTTACCCCACGACAGACCCCAGTTGGAACCTAGTACCAGGGGGGCCATCCTCAGCTGAAGGCACACATGGAAGGACTCGACCCAATGGGCTCTCATGGCTCCACGTATGCTGCCAAGTAAAACCCCTAATCCTACCACCCGGCAGGGACGGGTCAAGTGGAGAGAAAGAGCTCCGAACCTCGGACAAATTTTCAAAACCAACCCTTTTGGTTTTTTATTTGTAAAAAACGACCTATTTCAGTTTTATTTGCAAAAAACGACCTGGTTTCAGCCTCAGCGCTGAAACCAGGTCGGTTTTTTAAAAAAAATTCCGAAACTTCACGGGAGTTGAACTCCCGTGAAGTTTAGCAGTTTTTAATTAAGCTGCTAAACTTCACGGGAGTTCAACTCCCGTGAAGTTTCACAGTTAAAAAAAAATTTTGAACTGTGAAACTTCACGGGAGTTGAACTCCCGTGAAGTTTAGCAGCTTAATTAAAAACTGCTAAACTTCACGGGAGTTCAACTCCCGTGAAGTTTCGGAAACTTTTTTTCAAAAACCGACCTGGTTTCAGCGCTGAGGCTGAAACCAGGTCGTTTTTTACAAATATTTTGAAAATGAGTCGTTTTTTACAAATAAATAATCAAAAAGGTTGGTTTTGAAAATTTGTCCTCCGAACCCCTGATCCCCGTATGTGAGCTTTGTTGCTGGTCGATCAATTGAATTTGCATTCGAATCTCTTCTGATACTCAAAAGATTACCTATGAACTTGTGCTCAAACCTAAACAATTGAATTCTATATTGCTGTATCATTTACATCTCTCTGACCAACCAAACTACTTGGCGTGAATAAAGTTCAATAAATATCCTCAAGTAGGTCTTTTTAGCTGGTGGTTTGGATTCAAATGAATTAGATCCTCATTAGGATTAGGGTTGGGCATGGGCCGAGGCGACCGTCGGGCTGACCCGGCCCAGCCCGCCCCGGACTGTAGTGGGTCGGGCCCGAACTGACCCGTTCTATATTTAGGTCACAAGTAAGACCGGGTCCAACCCAGACCCGAGATCAAAGAAATAGGCGCGTCCACAATTGATCCGGCTCACCATGATCCAGCCCGACCCAGCCCAGCTCACCATTGATTCGGCTTGATGCATATTTTTTCCCCCTTTTTTACCTCTTGTATTTGTAATTTAAATTTAAACTAAAAGAAAGTTATTAACTTCCCGTAGACGTAGATATTCTTTTGAACTCCGGACCACGTATATCTTTGTGTTCAGGATGTTTTTCTCTGTCAAGTTTATCTTTGTATATATAAATATATATCATTTTAAATAAAAAGTGAAATAAGAAAAAAATAATTTAAATATAATATGGTAGATATCAATAAAAAGTTAATCATACTCCCTTTAAAAGTACGAGTTCGGGAAAATCTTTCTATGGTCAATATTACTCTTAGTTTTTTTTTAATATTACATTGTTATCCTAATCTATTATAATTATCCAATCTTCTTTGAATTGGTAACCAAATAATTTATTCTATTCATAACGAAACTTAACATGTTATTGGATAAAATAGTTACGTTTCATATAATTCAAAAAAATCATTTACTTATTTCAGTTTGTAGAGAAATCTAAAAAACATATGCTAGCCAGCACCTACGAGTTTTTAAACTTTTTAAAAAATATTCTCCAAATTTTTTAAATTGCAAAAGTACCCCTATAAATTCAAAATTTTATTAAAGTATCTTGAAAATTATAAATTTTACTTATCTCAATTCAGTGAGAAATCTGAAAAACATATGCTAACTAGAAAATAAAAGTTTTTTGACTTTGGAGAAAATATCTTATAAGTTTCAAAAATTACAAAAACACTCCTAAAAATTCAAAATTTATAAAAACCATCTTGAAAATTTCAAACCTATAAACATACTAAAAACCTACAAATAACACAAACAACCCTCAAAAATTTATAAAATTTGTAATACACACTCTGAACTTTTTACAAATTACAAAATAAAACCCTCAAATTATAAATTTTATAGAAATCCTGATAATTTCTGACTTAACAGTACATTAAAAATATAAGAATTATAAATATCCCCTACATAATTTATAGTTTATAGAAAACACCCTTAAAGTTTTAAAAATTACAAACAAACATTTAAAATTCAAAATTTACAAAAAAACACCCTAAAAATTTCAAATTCATTAGTAAATTGAAAGCATAGAAATTATAAATAGTCTATAAACAATTTACAATCTGTAGAAAATGCCTATAAGTTTAAAAAATTACAAAAAGTTCTTAAAATTCATAATTTACAAAAATCCATCATGAGAATTTTTAACCTACAGGCACTAAATGAATATGAAAAATTACTAACAACCCCTAAAAAATTAAAATTTTGTAAAAAATATCATACACCTTTTAAAATTATTAGGTTTAGAAAAAACTTTTCATGATAAATATTACACATAACTTCTTTAAAAAAACATAACTAATTAAAAATCTATTAAATTTAAAATTTACAAAAAAACACCCTTAAAATATAGTACATTGCAAATTACCTCTCCAAAGTTTAAAAAATTTCAATGATTTTTTTTGTAATTCTTTGATTTCAATTTAATGTTTAATAGTTTTGTGTATTTGTAAATTAGAAATTTTAGGGTGTTTTTTACACTTTTAAAACTTTTGAAAGTGTTTATTTTGTAGTTTTTTAAATTTTTATTGTGTTTTTAGTGTAATGCACATATATATCAATTAATGATAATATTGAAGAATAAGTCGTTCTTAATATTATTAGACCATAGTTAAGTGTGCACATCACTATTCGTAGATAGTATAGTTTATATATGTGAAAATTTTCAGACAACCTATATAGTGGTTAAAAAATTTTGGCTTTAATGTACTATTTTTTTACAAATTATATATAATGTGAGTCCACCATATAACTTTGTGGTCATTATAATTTTAATACATTTGATTAGTTGACTATATACGTATATAGACCATAGATTATTTTACTCTTTCACATGAGCTAATATTTAGTGCTGAATAATTTAAATTATTACTTTTAAATTTAATATAAAGATGAGCTCTAATAACATTTATTTATTTACCTACAACATAATATAATCTCAATTCCTATTTTTGCTGGACATTTATTCCATAGTTACATATATCAAATTAATAACTAAAATAATAAATATTTATGCTTAAACTAGAATGATTGTAGTTGGTCACTCACTATAAAATTTTTATGAAGATATATATACCTTACTTTCTATAGCTATCTACACTGCTCATGCAAATTTTATACATTAGTTCTTAATTTGACATATTAAATTACTTTTCATTTGTAGAAATTTATTACTTGACTTTTATACTGTATAATCATTATATCACCATTCTAGCATAGAAAGGACCTCACTCTAAATAGGCTTCAAGCCAATGTTTGAGTTACACTGAAATATATACTATTGCTACTATGTGTATATATTTTTTTAAAAAATCATGACAACATTTTTTAAATAAAAAAAAATTCTAACATCTGATATTATAAAAACTAAATATAGCCAATTGAATTATTAGCAAAAGAGAACTTACATCAGAAAAATATGAATAATAAGATAAAAAGGAAATGTAATGACATTGCCAATAGCACTACAAATAGTAAACTACAATGTAAAGTTAACCTATTTTGTACAGCCCAACTATTAGCTATAAACATCAAGGTTTTCATATATACTTTATAATTTATTAAAAATGGTCATATAATCTTATAATTTAATATTAAAAAGCATCGAGGTTTCCATATATATACTTTATAACTTATTAAAAAGGGTCATATAATAAAATTAATTTATTATTAAATAGTAATATCATTGTAATAGTATCATTATTAGAAAAAATTCTTTATGAATCTATATGTTCTGTACGATATATAAGTTACGCACTCCAAATTCTTGTGTCTTTTATAGAGCCAAAATGTTTGAATACAAGCCTCTAATATATTGCTCTCACAACAACAAAATTCACTTAGGAGATATGGATATTCCAAACAAGTTATGTATCATATATACAATACAGTTGCCTTAAGCAAGTGAGTTATAATAACATTTTTTATTCACTTCGTTTGGGGTAATTTTTGATAAAGACCTTGCACAAAAAAAAGATATTTTTATATTTAGAGCTCATGTCGAAATATATCATAATCTCTCTGTTCTAATTTCGTAAGAAATAATTCTTCATATTTTTCGTTATACTTCTATGATACATAGAATGAGCTATAAAATTGAATGAGAATATTAGATAATATAAATACGAGTAAAACATCAACTAAAAGTTAACGTGAATATAAATCAAACCATGAAAAGATGTTATACTAAATTAATATATTTACAACTCACAAATAGTAAAAAATGTGACCACAATCTAGGTTGAGAAAAACAATGATAATATTTTATTTGAGAGAAAGATTATTAAGTTGATGATCAATCCCCAAAAAACTTCATTTTCTTTTTTTTATTTTTACTCTACTTTTATCAATTTAAATAATCATGATATTCAACAAAGTGCATTGCACATGCATCTCAACTAGTATAATTTAAAAAATAGAAATGAAAAAAAATTTAAAAAACTCACGGGTGCGTCGCCCGTGGAACAAGCCTGACAAAGCCTGCCCTTAAGGGCTTGTTTGTTTCATTTCCCTCACTTTCCATCCCCCATTTTTTGTGTTTTCTTCACTTTCCCCATTTTCACCCTTACAAATCTCCCACATCAACCAATAATATTGTGACAACTCATCTCATCTCATCTCATTTCTTATTTTTAAAAATAAACTAAACACAAAAAATGAGTCACATCAATCAACTCATCCAACTCAACTCACCCCATTTTCCTTCATTTTCTATCATCTTTAAAAATTACTCATATCATCCAATAATATGGTGACAACTCATAACATCTCCTCTAAATTTTCCTTCATTCACTTTACTCCAAAAAAACAAGGAATTTGATGGAAAATAGTATGCGTCACATCATCCAATAATATAATGACAACTCATCTCATCTCATTTATTTTTTTAGTTTTAAGAATGAACCAAACACAAGAAAACACTTTCCCTTATTTTTTTAGCTAACCAAACACAAGAAAAGAAACTCTAAATAAAATATCTTTAAAAATCACTCACATCATCCAATAATATGATGACAACTCATTTTCTTTTATCTCCTTTTTACTTCTAAGAAGTGAACCAAACACAAGAAAACATCAAATCATGAAAAATATGTTTACTTTTCTTTACTTTCCTTCACTTTCCCTGTTTTTTAAGCGAAACAAACAGGCCCTAAGCGGATTATAGCCCGGTCCAACCTCATACCTAAGATCGGAGAAATAAGCACGGCTTACTATGACTCGAGCAGGCCCCCACACCCACCCCGGCCTTAAACTCGGCAAGCAGGATCACGGGCCTAAACCGGGCCAGCCCAACCCCCACCCCAAAAAAAACCGTAGAGGTTTCGGCGAGATCCAGATTTGACCTAACTGGTTCTAGACCTCTGAGCACATTCCAAATGAGTCAACTCAACCTGTATGAGCTAAGAATACCAACAACATCTCATCTAAAAAAATAAATGTGATGGGCCAAATTGACTGGGCCTAGTTCTAGAATCTTGCACAATAATTGCGCAATACAGCTAAGGAGTGGAATAGTCTTTCTTTCTGTCAAATCCCTTCTTTGTTTTAAAAGGCATCGCACGCGGAGCTGATAGTGATAGTGGCAACCCAAACACTAGCTAAAGGAACAATTCAAAGTTAAAATACATCAAACGCGAAAGCTAGATACAAAGGCAGAGTAGATCAACGGCCCACATCCAAGCCGCCCCTCGGCCCACGCAGGCGAAATATCATCGCGACAATATTACAATTACAACCCTATTCATAGTTTCTGTTACCCACCCCACTCCCCAACCCCCCCGGCTTCAGAAAAAATCAAAGCAAAAAACAGAGGGGGTGAGAAGTTGGGTCGTCACGTCTCTAGGCCCATTTTTTGCATTGGCTCCCTCGTCACTCATCATCATCGTCTTCATCCTCCTCCTGTCAATTTAACAATTAAATGCAAATAAATCACTGTATTTTCAAACTTAAATATTTGCAAAGAACTTTATTATTATTATTATTATTATTATTATTATTATTATTATTATTATTATTGATAAATTTACCTCTCCACTCTCTTCATCATCGTCATCGTCGTGAACCTCGGATTTGGACTTATCAGATTCTTCCTCTTCTTCCTCCTCTACTGCTTTTTTCCCTCCGCCATCAGACTGGAAAAATTAAATTAAATTAAGAAGGTATAAACAAAAATAAATTTGCACAAACAAGATTAATAAAGTTAAGAGTACCAAGTTCTTATTGTAAGCGACCATGGTTTTGTTGTAATCAGCCTTTCGCTTTGCCGCCTTGGCTTCATACGGAGCCTTTTCCTGAATTTTACAGAAAATTTCTAATTTTAGAAAATTAAAAGGCGAATTTTGTATGGATCGAAAGTTCCGAGGTTTTAGGTAGAATTACTCACAGCTGCTGACAAAGATTTCCATTTATCTCCAGCAGCTTTGCCGACCTAATCAAGAAAATTTTAAAAATAAGGTAAAAAATCTCAACAAAAAAAAAACAGATCTACAAAAAAAAAACTTACAACGGAGACTTGCTTATTGTTAGGGTTTTTCTCCTTAAATTGCTTCCTAAACTCCTCCCTTCAAGTTAAAATTAAACGGGGAAAAAAGATCAATATCGATTAAAATTATCGGGAAAAAAAAATCTAGAATCGAAGCTCACATGAAGATGAAAAAGGCGCTCGGAGGCCTCTTCGGCTTGTTCGGATCCTTAACCGCCTTCGCTTTCTTCACCGGTTTCTTCGTCACCTTTTCAGCTGCTTTCCTCTTCACCGAAAGCCTTTGTTCATAAGAAAAAAAAACCACCAAATTAATCAGATCCAAAACCCTAATTAACCCTAGATCTAGAAACCTAAAGAAAAAACGAGATCCAGATCTTAAACTCACTTCGCATCGGCTTTCCTCGAGGTGTCCGCCTTCGATCTCCCTCCTTTCATCGCGAATCTGCCAAAAAAACGACAAGATCGATCAAAAACCCACCAAAATCGGCCAAAAAATCGCAGAAATTGAGGGCGGCTGACCTAGGGTTAGGGTTAGGGTTTCGAGGGAGTTGGTAGTGAGTGGCGTGAGAGGGCGCTGGGTGTGGAGATAAGAAGAGGGAGGAACTGAGATATTTTCCTTCCTTTCTTTTTTTACAATCTCGCGAATCTACGGAGGACAGAGGGACGGGGGGGTCGATTTTGGGCGGGATTCAAAATTACGACGCCACGTCAGCGATCCGCGTGATGGGGCTATATTGGTTCATCCGGGTTCCCGCCATCCCCATCGCTCTCTCTCGCCTCGTTGTGTTTCCTCTGTGCTTTCGTTGAGCCTGGTGGGGTAATTTCAGGGGGGTAAATTCTTGATTGAGGAAATGTCGTTGTTGCCCTTTTTACTGAGGAGAGATATAATGCACGTGCAGATTAACGTTACTTAAGATAACGAGCAAGGTGTGAAAGGAAAAAATTAAACGTCAGGCGTGAATTGGTTATTAATTACGTTGATGGGCTGATTCTTTAGGTACAGAGATTTGGGTTGAGCAATAATTTAAAGGCCCAGCCCAAATTGTGGCCCTGCGGATAAGAACACTAGTGGGTCCTACTGCTCGGATACCACGCGCCGTTGCCAACGCTCTAGAAGGTGGATACTTGAGGTGTCGGTCACTCTCCTCAATTTCAATAGGGGCTGTTCTGATCGGTTTTTTGGATGGGTAGAAGGGGAGAAAGCTGTCAAAAATGTTAGCTTTTTGACAGCTTTCTTTCAAAATCCTCTTATAAAGGTGATTTTGGGAAAAAACTGATATTTACAGACACCGAAAACCGGAACCAAACAGGGCCTAAATGTTTACAGACACCGAAAACACTAAAAAAATTGGGTAAATTACACTGAACCCCCTGAACTTTCAACATTTTAGAGTGGACCTCCATGAACTTTTAAAATCGCACTGTACCCCTAATAACTTCTGCAGAAAACCCCTAATATCTTTAAGGTAAGTTACGCTAAACCCCCAATAACTTTCAAAATGCTTTTTTACGCTGTTTTCTGGTGTTATCGATAGAATGCAGAAACTTATTGTGGATTTTCTGCAAAACAACGAAAATTAATGGGGGTTTAGTGTGCTTTTGAAAGTTCATAGCGGTTTTAGTGCAAAATGCTAAAACTTCATGGGGTTTCGGTGTAATTTACCCAATAAATTCGCAGGCCTATTTAATAGATGAAAATACTTATATGATTTTTCGTTAGGATAACACTCGAAGGCTTTTTTATCCACTCTGCCGAAGTATTCATCTCCTTAGTTTTCTAAATTATTTATCCTTTTAAATTGAAGTAAAATGGAGGAAGCAATTGCATATATGCAATATATTTTGAGATATGGGAGGCAAACAATCACAACCCGTTTTGAATATGCACCAAGCATACATGATACATACATACATATTCACTATACGGAGTTTTTGATTCCATGTGGCACCGGACCAATTCGCGGCACGGTAGAAGATCTTGAATCGCTCAACGCGTTTCATCATCACCCGTCGGCCGTCGACAATATTTGTTTACAAACTATTAAAAATTGATTCTTATTAATATAAAAATGATCGAAAGAAGATTTAGATTTATGTCATGGAATTGATTCTTATTAATATAAAAATGATGAAAAGAATATTTAGATTTATGTCATGGGTATGTTTCGATGAACACTAAGTTGTATTCTATTTTCTACTGTTTTGATAGAAATTGCAGGTTCTTTTATTGGAGCTGTCCTGTACATGATCAATCTGAGGTTTAATTGGCTACTTACTAAAAACAAACTGCACACAAAGGAGGTTCTTCTTTCCAAAGGCTGGCAAGGTGACACTGTTAGATCTAAATTAAAACTTGAGATCTAAAAAACCATATAGCCATGATTAATTCGAAGAGATTAACAATAATCAAAAGAGTGCGGAAGATTATACCTGAATCCATAGAAGAAATCTTGATTTGGGTTTCAATGATCTTCTAACCTTAGGGTTTCTCTAAATCCGAATTTCTCTCTCTAGATGGGGGTGAAGAGAATTAGAGAGTGTAACACTAGGTTAGGGACCGTAACCCCTTATTTATAGATGTTGTACTTTTGTAATTTAGCCCCTCAATAAATCACAATTACAACCTGGTATCTGCACATATAACCCCATGATTATATTTAAATACCCATTAACCCAACTTAATTGATCACTTTAGTGGGTTATCCTGAAAGATAGCAATACACATTAATTAATCATATGTGCCCACAAATAGATTTATTAGATTAAATCCAACAATCTCCCACTTGGGCACCATATGATTCCTTAAACTGTGTATAACCTTATGAGCTCAAAAATTGCTATCACTGAAAAGGTATTTCCGAACAATCTCGTCCATTGACTATATCAATATAGGATCAAAGCGGCCTTCGTCACATTTATCGTGACTCGACCCATCAATGGTCACATATACCAATACAATCAAACGACATAGATCAATCATGGATGTGCAGCATGAAAATTACATGCAATGTGATCAGTACATGTCTATTTTCAACTGGTCCTCCTTAGTGAGGTCAAAACCAAACATAATGTAACAGAGACGCGAGGTTCGACTTAGAACTGAACGCGAGGTTCACCTTAGAACTGAGCGCGAGGCTCACATTAGAACAAACGCGAAGTTCGTTGAGCGCGAGGCTCACTTGAGAACGAACGCGAAGTTCGTTGAGCGCGAGGCTCACTTGAGAACGAACGCGAAATTCGTTTGAACGCGAAGTTCGGTTAAAATTGAACGAACGCGAGGTTCGTTTGAAGCTTACCGCTTCGCCAAAATTTGAGGTAACCACCTCCTTAATGTTCGCCACGTTTTCACGCACGAACCCTTAGGGTTTCAAACTGAAACCGCCGCCATTAAATCAAAAAACAGATCTAAAATCGAAAAATGAGTTTTCTTGATCCAGATCCAAGAAAAAACCGCCAAAAAATCCAAAAAAGTTACTGTTCACCGGCGATTTTTCAGTTACTGTTCATCCGAAAAAACTTTGCTGTTCATCCGAAAAATTTTCGTTACTGTTCATCCGAACAAAAAACTTCACTGTTCATCCGAAAAATTTTCGTTACTGTCTATCCGAACAAAAAAATTACTGTTCATCCGAAAAACAAAACTGAATCTTTAACCAGAGATTTAAGATAAAAAAACCTAATAAAACTTAAATCCCTAAGAATTAATCAAGGTGGCTCTAATACCACTTGTTAGATCTAAATCAAAACTTGAGATCTAAAAAACCATATAGCCATGATTAATTCAAAGAGATTAACAATAATCAAAAGAGTGCGGAAGATTATACCTGAATCCATAGAAGAAATCTTGATTTGGGTTTCAATGATCTTCTAACCTTAGGGTTTCTCTAAATCCGAATTTCTCTCTCTAGATGGGGGTGAAGAGAATTAGAGAGTGTAACTCTAGGTTAGGGACCATAACCCCTTATTTATAGATGTTGTATTTTTGTAATTTAGCCCCTCAATAAATCACAATTACAACCTGGTATCTGCACATAAAACCCCATGATTATATTTAAATACCCATTAACCCAACTTAATTGATCACTTTAGTGGGTTATCCTGAAAGATAGCAATACACATTGATTAATCATATGTGCCCACAAATAGATTTATTAGATTAAATCCAACAGACACTACATGTTCCTTCTGCGGATTAGATCTGGAATCTACAGAGCACTTGTTCTTCTTATGTCCAGTAACAAAAGTAATATGACAGCATTTCATAAACTACAATCTTCCATTCACTTGGCCGGCAAATTGGGATGACCTATTGCTTATCTTAGAATCAGTTCATGGGTTGAAAGGATATATATATGTGGCGCAGTATATTTGCATCTGTTTGCTGGAGTCTATGGAGATCAAGAAATAATTCTATTTTTGATCAAAAACGGTTTTCTATCAAGTCCATTATTAACTATGCAATATCGTCATTATATGATTGGACATGTACTCAAAGTGGAGCTACAACACAAAAGATTAGAGCTATGTTGGAGAAAGACCCCATTGGCAGAAGCACTTGACTAATCTGCAAGTGATATGATATCTTCTTCAGTTTTTTTGTATATGATCTATCACAAGTTTTGTTATATGTTTTGATTGGGCTATAGAAATATTAGTTTCTTGATACCAAATATATGGCTGGCTTTTGTTCTCTCTTATATCTGTGTCAACGGTGAATGACGGCAAGGCCCTCTCTTCACCTTCACGGATGTTGGAGAGAAGAAAGTCATATATCACTAGTATTGAGAAACTAGTCTTTCTATCTTCCAAATTTTGGATACAATTCGTATCCTGTTTTTGTAAAACTTGTTATTTAATACATATGACAGGGTTTATCCCTTGTTTTTGATAAAAAAAAATTGGCATGTCCAATAAAAGTAATGCTAAAGCACGATCTTTTTTGTTATCGTTTTGTCACATACTGTTCACTATGATCAATAAAAGTCACAAGATACAAATAGAAGCTACGTGATATTTATTATGCTTCTTTACTTATGGGTTTTTTTTGTATCATTCTGCCATCTATGATTCATGTGTTGTACGCTACGCCCGGCTCAGAATGCTTCTCACTGCTTTGAGATCACGAAGGTGTTCTTATCAGACTTCTTTGCTACCATGCATTCTCAAAAACATCATAAAGCTTTATCGATGCACTCTATCTCAAACTAGCACTGATTTCAGAGACTCACAATTCTCATATTACTATATTAGTATCAGTATTTGTTCAGGGCCTGTTTGTTTGGCTAAGGGGCCGTTTGGTTGGTTTCCTAAAAACCAAGAAAAGAAAATCGCTACAATGAAACCAATAAAATAATATTTTTATCCATTTACATCCCTAAAACTCACCCACAACATCCAATAAATTAATATTTTTATCCTCCAACCCATCTCATTTCATCTCATTTCTTACCTTTAAAAATAAACCAAACACAAGAAATGTGTCACATCATCCAACTCATCACATCTCATCTTATCTTATTTTTAAAAATCACACACATCATCCAATAATATTGTGACAACTCATCTCATCTCATTAAACCTTCATTTCCATCCATTTCCTAAAAAAAACAAGAAATTGATTTCCTTAAGTATGTGTCACATCATCCAATAATATACCTCCAACTCATCTCATCTCA